CGCATCGACGTCTTCCGACGAAATCCGATGATTTATGGCCCCCTCATAACGAGGTTGTACGCTCACCGTTTTGTCCGGGGTCGTCACTATTTTCTTTATTTATCGGCACGCATTTTTAGTGTTTCCAACAGCTACTAAGACCATGTTTCTCAAGACTAACGTTGAGGGGGCAGCCGCTGATGCGCCTCCGGAACTTTCGCACCGTCGACAATGACTATGCGTAGAAAATGACTCGGCCTGGGAGGCCCTTTGCCACTGCTTCGACTAGCCGAAACTCCAGACTCTTGATCATCTCACTGCACTTGTGAGATTGAAGCCGCAAGAAGAGGAGATGTCGAAGGGGCTGCTCAATAATCGCAGAGCATAGCTAGAAAGACGTGGACTCATTGCTGCTATTGCTATTATACAGGATGCAAGGGGCGCTCCATTCCGGCCTATGCTGTCACCTTCCTCTCGCTCGCTGTTGACAATAGTCAGTTGACTACTGTAAGTCACAGTGTAAGCACCCTGTTTGTAAGAGTTAAATAAAATTGTTCAATAGAACCTGAGTTATCTCAATCATTCGGCAGGTGATACCCAACCTCAACAATTGAACACCAAACAGTGCTACGAGTATAAAATTTATCTCGTATGAGAAAAAGAAAAGGTCGACTGTCGCGATATATATGCATATATATATGTATATATATGCATATATATATATGTATATATATATATGTGTATATATATATATATATATATATAAGCTCTGTGTAGCGGCAAGTGAATATTTGTATAAATTTTTATTTTCAAGATTGAGACTTATATATTAAAACTCCCTATAGTCGATGACTAAACCAGACCAGAAAATTATAGCAAACCAATATTTTCTACACTAACGTATAAGATAACACATCGTTATCAGAGAACAAAGCCCTGCCACCGATTCGTGCTTTGTTGCGAGCGCGTAGAAATTTGTTTTGCGTAGGCAAACCGGTGTCTATATTGTTTCTCTTTGTTGATATTTTTTATTTGTTAGCTTTGTTGTTAATTAAATTTGTTGCCAGTTCACTCGTGTTTGTTGTTTTCGCCTAGTCACTCCGCATTCCGACTAAATAGTAACGCGTATTTTGATCCATGTTACTCGGCGGATCATTTAGTTGTGGGAACGTTTGCGCTTTTCAAATTCCCTCTTTTCAAATAATATGTACGAACGGCCGCAAGCTATCCATAAAGGGAACGGTCGCAAGTTTCTCTGTTACACTCTATACATTTATATTATAGCGGCGCTTAAGCTTTTTATGTCCTTTGAAAAGTAATTTTTATTAAACTCCTCAAAATGCTCATTTATCACAACAATCATCTCTTCGTTGAATGAAAATCTTTTACCCGCAAGCCAAATTTTCATGTGAGAAAACAAAAAATAATTGAAAGGAGCAAAATCTAGAGAATAAGGTGGATGAGGAAATATTTCGTAGCGTCAATAAAATAATTTGGCTTTTTTTTCGCCAGACGAGGCCGATTTTCTTTCAGTATGGCATCAAATCGGTCTAATTATGAGGCATAATATTCTTCTGTAATAGTTCTTCTACTCTGTAGGTAATCGATCAATATTATACCATTAATCGTACCGTCTTCGCTTTTTTCGGCGCAAATTTACCTAGATTTTTCAATTCTGACGTATAATAATGAATCCATGTTTCATCAACAGTAACGTAGCGTCGCAAAAACTCCTTTGGATTATGTTGAAACATGCTCAAACATTGCTCAGATGCAATCACACGAGTTCGCTCGTTATCAGCTGTGAGCAAACACGGCAGACATTTTACAAATAACTTTATCATGCCCAAACTTTCATGTAAAATGTTCCATGTGCATCCTACTGAAATGATAAGAGCGTCACTGATCTCTCGCACTTTCAATCGACGATCGCCGAGTATAATATCATAAATTTTATCGATTACGTATGTCTTAAGTAGTCACTTCTTTGGACGGTCAAGATGCTCAGCATCACTTGTGCTCTTACGGCCATAATGAAATTCAGTAAACCATTTTTAAACCATGCTATGCGATGGAGCAGAGTCTCCATAATATTTTCCGAGCTTTTCTTTAGTTTCTTTGATTGATTTTCTCCGTAGGAAATAATTTTAATAATCACACAAATAGTAGATTTTCTTACAAGGGGGGAAAATAGAACTTTCGGTTCGAAAATACTCGGCTTCGCCTCGGCCGTCATACCACCTTCGTGCATGAGTTCCATATTACCCCCGTGTAAGAAATAGTGTTTTTCTCTATCCCCGGGCGAAAGCGCGCTGATTATTTAATCGCTAAACTGGAAAATCACATATTGTCTACATTCTAACTGCTGTCAAGACTGCGCAGCCATGTTTTTACTTTCGACCGATGCTTTGGTAGTCGTAGCGCCCTCGCGGTCATCTGACATCGTGCTTCGAACTAATAGGTTATATTTGAAATTTTTCGCTGATGCCCGTCCAACATTTGCAGCACGAGCGTAGCGAGTGCTGCTGGTTGGGGCGGGCATCAAAAATACATGAACAAACATTTTTTAATAATAACTGTTTATTAATTTTCTTAAAATTATTTTTCACATTTCTTACAAGAATAAAAATTATTTGTAATGTTACCATTGAATGTACAATTTTCATATCTTACATAAGAATTTTTTAGCCAATTAGTAGTATCTGTATCAATTTGTTCGTTTGCAATAACAATTTCTTGCCTTTGTTCGTTTTCTTTTCCAGAGTGTGTTGGATCAACACTCAATTTTTTTGCAGGCGGTCGAGCTGAATTATTTTCAAAGATATGAAAATTGTACATTCAATGGTAACATTACAAATAATTTTTATTCTTGTAAGAAATGTGAAAAATAATTTTAAGAAAATTAATAAACAGTTATTATTAAAAAATGTTTGTTCATGTATTTTTGATGCTGTCGCCAGCTTCTTATAGCTTCACAACATATAGGATTACAGTTTCGTGCTGCGCCTCAAACTTCAGGCGAAAATGTTTTCACTCGCGGTGAAACAAGTGGCGCCACTCGCGGAGTGGGTAAAAGTGCAACTTCTTCCACCGTAGACAACCCGTGAAAGCGCGTGCTTTCGCCCGAGGGATAGAGAAAACTCATTTTATTCCATGATTGTGTTTGCATAATGAAAAATTAAATTTAAATGACTGTAAACAATTTTCAAACCAATGTACTGACTTGAAACTGTATACGCACTTATACTAGCTAGCACTCTTACAGTGTAAAATTCATTACGATAACACTACCATCTTCCGAGAAGTCACAGACTTATTGAAGGACCCTAATATCAAAGATTATAAAATCGGATATTTAAGAGCGCTTTATAAAGAATATACTTTTTTCAATAGACCTTTTACGTCAAAAATACTAACGGCAACAATTATTATTTTTACATGTGCAAGATATTACATTTTTTAGCAAGATTTTAGTCTTCCATGTTAAATTAAAAATTTATTATAACTAGAGCTCGACTTATTCAATGATCAAAACAAGTATTTTTTTCTTATGTCAGTAAAAAATAATGCTTCCAAATTTCTTATTATTTAAAATTATTACTATTTTGAATAATTTTATCAAAGTTAATAAAGCAACATCAATTGCAAGTGAGCATAGTCAATCATAAATAGTATATTTTGCTTCAAGAATTTTACAAATATCAAGTTCGAAATATTAAACTTCAATGATTATATACATTTAACGAGACAAACTTGTGATAAAGAAATTGTATTACATGTTATAAAAAATTTCGTATATATACTATAACGAATAGATATTCGTTAAGGCGCGTGCGTATATTAAGAAGCAATCGCGTCGGAAAATAGCGAAAATTCAGGAGCGTACCGAGAAGCACGCGTACGTGCGGTAGGAGGGGAAGACCAGTACGCGACTAACAACGAAACTACCCCAGATGTACCTAACCGATTTTCTTCATTTTTTGATTTACATCGAAATATATTGAACCTGTGTCTTTTTGTTCGTGCTAATTCGACGATCTAAAAGTTGAAAACCGCCTCTAAAATTCATCTCCAAAACTTATAAAAACAAGGGAATGCAACTCTTATTGGTGAAAATAATAAACAAAGTTTCTGAGAAATATAGAGAAAACCGTTTTTGAAGGTGAATTTTAGAAATGAGTTTCATCCTTTAAATCACCAAATTAGCACAAACAAAAGACATGGATCAAATATTTTTCAATATACTATAACATATCAAAAAATGAAGAAAATTGCTAAGGTACACATGGGGTATTTGCCTTGTAAGCAAGATGCCGCGTTTAACCTTGCTTTTGTTTCTCTCTTATACCACGTCGCGATCCACAAGTACGTTCACTTGTTGATATTTGTGTTATTACATACGATCTAAACCTCTCGGCAAATTTATATCATGTTACGCTTTATGATTCCGCGTTTACCGTTTAACGTTCTACTAATCCACGCCTATGGTATAAGAGAACCTAAACAAAATTTCTTCATTTTTCGATTCGCTTCGTGTTTTCGCGCTCATTTTTAGCCTCGTAAAACACGTACGCAATAGCATCAGGTATACTGGAGCGGATTTAGAGGGCGGTTAGCCTTGCATCGAGGAATGAATCTTTTTTAATTTTTTAAATAATTTAGCCAATGTTGCAGTACATACTATCTGTTTATTAATTTGAAAATAATCTTGTATGTTTTATAAGTGTAGCTTACTTAGTAAAGGATTGAAAAAAATTCAATAAATATGCAAATTATTGATATAAATTTTAATGAAGTAGTGTAGGAATGTCTTCAATCATAGGAATCTTAACCATTTGTTGATCATAGAGCTTTTTTGCGTTATAAATTGTAAATAATCTCAACATACAATAGTTCTTTATATTAGTAAACGTTGCATGCAAAAGTATTTTTTTAATGACTTATTGTAAAATGTTTAATATTATATTTTCTGACTGTAATAGTTAAAATTATATATTACTTTTGTTAATATTTGTAAACAGTTACATAGCTCCTCTGACGATAACAGCCTATTTCAACGTGAAGTCTGGACAGGAGTTACAGAATCAAGAAATACCTTTTCCAGTAGCAGTGTATGAAGCTAGAACTAACCACTCAGCTAAATATTCTCGACAAGGCAGCAGCGTAAGCAACGATGTAATGTACGTAAAAGATAATTTTTCCTTATTTAATTAATGGCGTATAAAGCAGGCAACTGGCATCATCGAGCAGTAATAATGTTATTATATTTTAAACTTTGAATTCTATAATGCATTTTATTTTGATAAGACATACTTCATTTCTTGTATTTTTGTTATTATTCATATACTTAATTATACATAACTGTGACACTTAATTATTGGTAAAAATCAGTATATAGTAATAGAATTCTAAGAAATATTGATATCATAAATTATTTTTATGATATAAAAATCACGTATGATTCATATACGAAAGAACGTCTTTTCTAATTAGTCTTATATCGGGTTGATTGTCATTGCATAACTGAAAAAAAAGGATTGATTTAAAGTACGATTTGATGCTACGTTAGTATAAACTACTTTTCTTTAAAAATCTATTGGTAATTAAAAGTTACATCAGTTTTCGCATGGTAGTCCTTATATAAAGTCTACTCTACTTTATTATTTCATTCGCAGAATACGAAGTGTTAATATCGATAAGCTCTGTTTCAGTCGGATACGTGTCAGTATTTTAAGCATTCAAATTTTATTTCCATAACATCAAATATAAGAATCACACAACACGACATTTCTAATAGCTTTCATTTCGTCTTTTCCAACTAAAATTATTATATTTACGTGAATGTTTGTTCTGCATGTAGATATTTAATATCTATCAATATAACGTAGTCGATATTCACTATCATCTACATATTACGCTTTAATATATTATATCAGTGTAATGAAATGAAAAATTTTATTTTTTAGATATTAATTATACTTAAATAATACTCACAATAATATATATTACTAAGTGAGATGTTTTTATTAACAAATTATCGTATAAAAGTTCAAGCGTAAAATTATTTAGAAGTTAATAGAAATATATCTATCAGAAAAATAACATTTTTTCGAATTTTCAAATAGCATTACTATAGAATGCATTTAATTTTTTTGTGTTATTATCATTGCGCGTTATTATCATGACATCTTTTTTTACTCTAGAAGTGCTAATAGCAGTTACATAAAAAAAATAATTTCATGATTTTTTTACAATTTACAATTTCATTGGCAATGAGTCTTGGATTCAATGTCATAGTTGTTAAAGCCCTGAAAGACTCGAAATCTTAAACGGAAAATAAATCAAGACATGATTTTTGACGTATTTTTACCCGTACAGATCGACTTTGAAAAATAAATATCATTTGTCATTTTTATACAATTCAAAAAAATCATAACAAATCACAGCTCTTGTTATAATTGATTTAAGCTTTTAGACGAAAAAAGAATATCACTAGTGTTCCCGCTGATGGAACTATTTTTTTAAGATACCCCATACCACATAAAACGATCAAATAAAAGAATTAGGAGTATGCATTCTATTTGATATAAAAACCCTGTTGAATTAAGGGTGGAACTCATATTATATATTTTAAAATAATGCATTGGTTATTAAATGAGGTATATAGATAGTAGTTACGCATGCGGTAAAATTTCTTTTTCTGAATCTTAACGAAAAGTTTTGTTTAGAGACAGGATGTAATAGTTATAACTTTCTCTGTGTAATAAAATTAAAATATCTATTTAAATCAATTTTTTGAAATTTATAATTCAATGAAACTATAAAAAATAGATAATTTTACAATAAATGACTGTTTAACATTATTTTAAAATTTGTGTCCCTTTCACTCCTCTCTCTCTCTCTCTCTCTCTCTCTCTCTCTCTCTCTCTCTCTCTCTCTCTCTCTCTCTCTCTCTCTCTCTCTCTCTCTCTCTCTCTCTCTCTCTCTCTCTCTACGTTTTATTTAATTTTAATTTTATTCATTTACAGGTCAAGTATCCGAGTCAAACAAGAAAATGAAAGCAGTGGTACGAGCGGAACTGTTGCTATTTCGAATTTGTCAACATCATGTGACCTAGAAGATTCAGATCTCGATATACACAAGGAAAAACGGACACAGAAGTATATAGTGCTTATGACAACAGCATTTGCTATATGTCTTTGTCCGTTAATGATCCTCAGGTAAAACTACTTGAACGTTTTCATCGAGTCGAAAAAAGCTAGATATGAATACTTATTTTTTAATAATTCAATCTTTTCTTCAAATTAAATTCTGCGTATTATACATATTCTTATACAGTTATATTAGTATTTCTTTCAGCTTTCGTAAAACCAAAGTTTATTCTATAATACTGCAAAATCATATAGAAATTATTCTTATTAATGAAAAAAGTAAAATAGATTCATTAAAGTAACTTATTATTTAAGTAGAGAGAAACATCCACTATTCCAAATAATAAATAGCTGTTGGATGAATCAAGTATCTATTATCGTAACACTCTTAACTAATTACTAAAAATCGATATATGCTGTTGTATCGATTTACTCCACTTACACTTTACTCCACGATAGACTATATAAAATGTAAAATACGCAAAATTGAATATGAAATTTCTCAACATTTTCCACGGCTACGAAAATAAATAAAAATAGTATTGGTTTTACCTCATTATAATTATAGTATCTTGTTATGACTTTCTAGATTAAATTGAAACCCTATACAATTTTTTAATTAATATCTATAATTAATTAATTAATATTTGTAATTATTAGATTTGTATATTAATCAATTATAATAAGAGAATTAGTATATTTTTGAGTTTATAACTAGAAATGATTCCTTTTCAAACTAATATCTCTTAAGAAAATATCACATAAAAATGTTCCAATAAAATAAAATAAAAAATTTTTTTTTTAATTTAAAAATTAAATAATAGAATAAATAAAAATAAAAATTTATAAATTTTCCAATTTTAAAAATACACATATCTTGAGCATATTTTCTAATAAATATACATCGATTTTATTTCATTAGTAATCTCAATTACACCATATGAAGGAGCTGGTAGGAGTTGAACTCTAGATCATCAATTTTTCTGAAATTTGTAGAATTTTTTTTTGTGACCTGAATAGAACATGTTAAACCAGTATTATATTTATTTTATAGTCCATTCTAAATTGATGGAAGAATCACCTTTGAGTGAAGAATCGCTATAATTAAGGTAGACTTTTTTTTAAATTAGGAAGGGCAAGAAAGAAATACATGTAATTGTTTATTTCTCACAAAATACGATTGAAACATTGTAAATTTAGACAATGCTATTGAAAAAAAAACCAATAACATGTAAGAAAACAAAGGTAGGGATAAGAGAGATAAGGGAGAGACTGAATTTTTATGGAAAGAGGAGGCGACTCTTTTCGAGATACCTTACAACTGTAGTGTAGGGATATATATTATAGCTTATGAGATGAACTTGACACTTGTTTCATAGATTAAAGGTCACAAAATATAAAAGTAGAATAAGTTTAAGAACATGTTATAGTATAGTGACCAGTGTTATCGACACTTAGTTGAAATTTATTACTTAAAAGTATGAATTGAAAATGTACGTAAGATTGAAAATAAGGTCATGCTCACTTATTTCGTAAGTTATATAATATATAAAATAATACACAAAGTTATGTTATATAAAAATATACTATAATCGTATAGACATAAACTCTTCACTAATCGTTTTTAATTAATATCTCAATGAATACCATCATAACGTAATCTGGAACTTGGCAGATTTCTTTTTTAAATGTTTTTTAAATATTTATTTATTAAGTTATACAAAGTTTTCAATCTGTTATAGGAAAATGTTAATTTTATCTATAATTTTCAAAGTTATCTCATAAAAGCCCATGTTAAAATAACATTTTCATCGTGGTCTCATTCTTTAGTATTATAATAGATATTGAAAAAATTACGGTGCACTGAGAAAGCTTTCAACTTTTACACATCAGATTTTTATTTTACATCTATCAAACTAATTTTAACTAGACAACGTCCTTAAAAACTTGAAAACACGGTAAAAAATAATATTGAGGTAAAAAAGAATTAAGCAATAAGTAGCATAGGATATTATATTTACATTAACATAGGAAAATAATCATCTTTATTATATTCAAACTAATTTTTTCTGAATCTAAATAGTGTTAAATAGACACACTATAATGATTTTAAATAATAACCTTCTTCTTCTGTGTTTTAGATTAATAAAACCATCGATTGAAGAAACATATGCAAATGCTGATCACATCAATATGACTTACGTGACACTTGTATGGGTAGCATTTTTACCGGAATTTATAACCCCATGTCTCTATGCTTCTTGGCAAATGAATATGTAAGTATTATCAACAGTATTTATTTTAAACCTCATGCTAGACAAGAATTTACTCTCCCGCACTACTTAGGTAATGCAGGGGAGACCTAAGCAAGACGGTCATCATAAGAGATAATAGAAAAACATTTAATAACAATAAAATTTTATTTAGAAAATGTACTTCAACTAGCAACAATAATAAACATACGCATGTGATGAACAAATGAATGAAAAACAAATAAAAATCATTCGATTTGGAAGTACTCAGGCAAGCCAGCGATTGTGCACATAAACCATTATGCACGGTAACAAAGAGTAAGAATTAATTCGGACCATACTGTTGTGGACAATAGCTTATGTGTAAAATAATTGGGAACACAACCTGACGGCTTGCAGCTCAAAAATCACTGGGAAACCGATACCGAAAAAAATTTTTTTAATAAATACTTCATTAATTTCATACAAAGTTATTAAGCTACCAAAAAAGAATATTTTCCGTATGAAAACTATTACATTTTATTATATGTTTTGACTTAAATACTTTACAGTACTATTGTTAAATACGCATATTACATTTATCGAGACAATTATGTATCAGTTGCATTGTTTCAATATCAGGAAAGGCCAAATAACATTTAATATCAAGCTGAGGATACTGTTAAGCTGGTTAAATTTCGCTAGTGTTTTTAGCAATGTAGTTCTTTGAATATTAAATTGCAGCATATTATTGGTTAGATCTTTGTTTGAGCACCACAGTCGTAATTAACCTCCTGTATAACTTAAATTAAGGTAGTGATTTGTTCAGGCTAAAGTACGACACCTACATAGTATAACTATCAGAACTTGTAACGGTTCTTTTTTTATTTTGGACTCATGAGCCATTACTAGAATAAATATAGTGTTGTATTTTAAAACTCGATATATTTATTATACTTGAATACGAAGAACGGCAATAAATTATAATATAAATTACTTTCAAATGCTTTACATAAATTGTGAAATAGTAAGTTTACTGTACAAGAAATATATTGTCAGACACTATTATTTTATATACAGGGTGTCTCATTTTAACTAAGATGGTGGGATAACTTAAAACTTTGCAAAGTATTCGAAAAATGTTTTAGATAAAAGTTGTATTATTCAGCGTGGGTTACTTAAATTTGATCTTGAAGTTGATTTTCAATATTATTTCAGTTTGATAGGAACACCTATGTTTGACCCCGGGTTTAGAAATTGTGGAAAATTTTACGTTCAGATACTGACCTGTGCAGCCAAGGGAGCTGATTTATAACCGACTGCTTAACTCACAATCAATATAACGATAGAACTTATCACTTACGTAGCGTAAAAACCTTTTCTGCGGTTGCTTAAGTTCAGCGCTTAAGCCTTCTCACAAGATCTTACACCTCTTAGGGAAAGTTTGTGTGTGTGCGTACGTGCGTACGTGCGTGCGTGCGTGCGTGCGTGCGTGCGTGCGTGCGTGCGTGCGTGCGTGCGTGCGTGCGTGCGTGCGTGCGTGCGTGCGTGCGTGCGTGCGTGCGTGCGTGCGTGCGTGCGTGCGCGCGTGCATATGTGCGTGTATACGTGCGCGTGCGGTTGGGTGCGAGTGTGGATGAATGTATCTTGATGTATGAACCATTCAATTAAGGCAAGATGGTGTTACGCTATACATTTTGAAGTATTTCATGAGTTGTTGCTTGAAACGTTCTTATAATTATATCCATTATATTCGGTAGTGTTGTTGGAGGTTCATAAAAAATCATATTTCATAAAAAAGTTTCACATATCCGCACAAAAAGAAATAATAATCACAGATGAACATTCAATCTCGAGAGCAGTATATTACGGTTTTAAATACATTTAAAATCAAACAAAATTGAACAAAACATGGTAACTCAGAGTGTAAATTTCCTTATGAAATAAAATATGTTGAAACATTTCCATGCGGCCAGAAGCCACTGCCAATATCTAATACATTTAATGCACAGCTTCGGCATATAACGACTTTTATGAAACATCAATAGAGCAAACCCACGTTTATGATTTTGAAATACTTTTTAAAAACTGAAACACATGACTGAGCACATGTGCGCGAAACTAAGAAACCAAGTTCAAACCAAAAATGAAGGGTCATTCAAGGACAAACACATACTCGTGCAGCGTATTGACCTCTTAAATACATTTATCGATTAAGTCGTTGATGGGTGCGCTATTTACTTTCTTTTTTTTAGGTGAGGGGAGAAGGAGACAATGAAATTACAAATTATTATGTTTCTAACCAATTTTTTCTCATATCGTTATACTTACAATCTAAAATATTAACTTTTCCAGAATTTATTTCATATCGATTTCTCGAACATGTAAAAAGAGTGCTTAATTTTCTGATTTTTTTCTCACATCGTTTTTATATTTACCAATTCTTATATTATAAATAAAAAGCCGTGATTGTTAAACTACGCGCTATAATAATGAAAAGTTTGTAATATTTTTTATCAATATTAAGCTTGCGTTGTGATAGAGTCTAGCTGCACTGTGCTATGTTATTCATTTTATATTATATTTTTTATACATGTATTTCAGTACATGAAAATAAAAAATTAATTTTTCCTAAACGTTATCAATTTACGAGTAAAACTTATTCACAGAGATCACAGAGATCACTTTATCTTTTTCATTTTATACTCATCATTTTATACTTTTAGTATCAATGCTTTAGCCAAATTTAACAAATTAATGTTGAGTATTCGTTATTTGATTTTTTTTTTCGTTTTACACGTTTTTACGTATACTAGACTAAATTGGATACTTCAAGTAATAATACTCGGAGTGACTTTTCGTTAATGTATTTTCACGCGAATGCTTTTATGTACGTACTTCTGAACGAAATTGTATAGATATGTCATATACTACGGGAGCTTTTCCGTGAAAAAATTTGAAAAGTGACGTTTCTTATTAAAGATATTAAGGAGCTTTATTTGAAATTGACTAAAACTAGTCAAAAACTCGTTCTAAATTGTAGCAAGCATTCATTGCTAGCTCTTTGGAAATATTTGTATGTACGTATGCTTATGTATCCAACTTGAGAGATATAATAAAAAGATCTAGAAAAATTGTCTTAAAAAAATTGATAAGGTCATATTTAATAATTTGCCTTTAATAGTGAGTTAGTTAAAAAAAAATGGTTGATTGGTGTTTGGTAAAAATAAGTCTCATGAAAATAAATGAAAGGTAAATATACGTATATTCAAAGAGAACTAATATAAAGTAAAAATACTAGGACGTCTTGAGCACGTTGTAATTTGATGATATAACAAGTAAATAATTATTACTACTGGTTAAGTGTGTGTCTTATAAAAATAATAAGAAAAAATTTGGTTTGAAGAAAATTGAGTTTAATGGCATAAAAAAACCTCTTCAGTAAGAAGGAAAATGCTATAATTAAATGATACAATGGAGAGTCACACAAAATGGTGAAATTAAAATAATCACCAAAATATCCAATCTGTATTTAATAACAAAAAAGTAACAGGAGTCACGATGTACCGTAAGTTTCGCATAAACACTAGTGATTCAATTGAAATCGTGTGCTTCGTACAGAAGCGTATGTGCATATGTGACTGGAACCTGAAGTCTCCGAAGGAACTAATAACTTGTAAAAGTTTCTCTTCATAAAAATTCGCCTTTCACTTCACTAACTTTATTTATTCTTCTATACCTTTTGAAGTCCATGCCGGACTTAGCGAGGGCGCAGCTGTCAGATATCTAAAACAGGGTGAACTCGCGCAACGTCCTTTTTATGGTACTGTATAGTACTAATTCGAATGCTCGGTTTATTCTATCTACTCGATATGATAATAGTAAAAATACAAGTAAAAAAAATATTACAAAAGAAATTATTAATTATTAATTATTAAACATTATTACATAATGAAATACAATTTTATTTATAAATAATTCCATATTTGATAATAGGTATCTTTATTTGAATATGATAAATTTATTATTTTCAGTTGATTTTCACACGTATTTTTATAAGCGAATATTCTCACTCGCTTTCGGATAGCAACAAATAAAAAAAATATTTTACCTAATTTAATAAAGTACTGTTAGTAAAGATACTGTAGACTACTATCCTAATCTAAATCAAAACTAATTTTTGCATGGTTCACAGTTGATCTGTGTAATTAAATGTGATAAAACCTATCGAATTCCGTACGTGACGGAATCCAGCAACGTATGATTTTACCGTAATACAATATGCTGCTGGTTTAACTACTGAGCAGATCTGCTACGAAAAAGGATCAAGCTATACAGTTGATAACTTGATGAAGAAAACAAAAAGATAGCTAAAAGAAGGGTAGATAATGCTTCCGATTACCAAAGAGATTTTCCAACTTTTTCAAATTAAGAGATCCAAAAAACTCATCAGAACTTTTTCTTTACTTGTACTTTTCAATAGAGTGAAGAGCAAAAATATAAGATTGACTATGTTTATTTATTTATGTATACACATCTGAAGGTATTGGTATAGAATAAAAAAACGTGCATATTAAAAAAATTCTAATGGTCAAGGTTTTGTATCCGCATTTATTCTATGAACTCTTTTAAAAATATTATAATTGCAATAGCAACTTCTACTTTACTTATAATATAGTTGCATTGTTTTTATTTATGACATTCATAAAAAAATATCAAAAACAATATTCTCACCAAAAAATATTTAAATGAAACGACTAAGCCGAATGTATCGTAAGACTACAAATGTTAAAACTGTGTTTTGTAGCTGCACATAGGGCGTACCTGTTATTTTTTTCCAATGCTATTACCGTTATATCACATTTTATTCATATTTACACTACTTCTAAGCATTTGTTATGAAATATGAGGTAATGGAGGCATCAATCCATAGTTTTTAGATAGAGAACTTCTTCTCCAACGAATTGTTTGATATCTGGAGGGTGAATTCTCCTCTTATCTCCTGGATATAGTTATCTTATAAATTTGAATATCATTTAAATTTAATTTTCGAATTTCAGTTATTTCATTTCACTTAAAATTTACTCTAAAATAAAATATTTTACTCTACAGAAATAAAAATATTCAAATTTTTTGTTTATTGGTAAAAATTAACCGTTTGAATAATGTACTTGACGAAAATTTCGGTCAGTCAAGGTTAAGTCATTACGTCAAATAGGCTTAGTGTACATAAACATATATTGATCTATAGATAAAACCGGTGTTATGAATACACAATAGGTGAGAGTCTCACTATTATTGCGTATTCCCGCTATTCTCTCTCATTGCATAAATACATCTATAATATTGTCCTGCTCATTCTTTCCCTCACTCTCTCTCTCTCTCTCTCTCTTTCTCTACGTTTTATTTAATTTTAATTTTATTTATGACAATTCAAGTGTTCAACTCAAACGAGAAAATGAAAGCAGTCGTACAAGCGGAAATGTTGCTATTTCGAATTTATCAATATCATGTGACCTAGAAAATTCAGATCTCAATACCAACAAGAAAAAACGAATATAGAAGTATACAGCGCTTATGACAACAGCATTTGCTATATGTCTTTGTCCATTAATAATCCTCCATCCTTTTAATAAACCAATCTTTCCTCCAAATTTAATTCAACGTATTTGTACAATCTTTTCTCATGAAGAGAAAACATTTCTTTCAACTATACAAGAGTTTTGCTGTTGTATTTACTATCATACATATGATAGTAAATATTAATCTTATACAGTTACATTAGTACTCTCTCTCTCTCTCTCTCTCTCTCTCTCTCTCTCTCTCGCGTAAATCGAATTTCTGGATTTGCGCATTGATCAGTGCTCATCACTCTCTTTCTATTCCGGACGACACGCTAGCTGCAACTCTCCGTTTCGCGCGGACCGCTTATCATCTCTTCTTGGAGCAAAAAAATTTAGGAATGTGTGAAGATTTTCTGCTAGTGCATTAAGTTTTCTTTAAACAACTAAACTTATAGTAATCGCTTCGAATATTTGGATTGTACACAGCAATTGTTTGCACTCTTTACCTAACGCAATACTCGCGCTCATTT